AAAAAAAAAAAAGAAAAAAAAGAAAAAGAAAAAAAAAAAAACTACAAAGAATGGATTCATGCTCCAGAATACAGGTCTCGTGGAGGACCTGAGTTTGGCTCCCAGCACCCAACTGGACAGCTCACAAACAGTTCTAGAGGATCAGATGCCTCTGACCACCTAGGGCATTTGCATTCATATACACATACCCACCCCACTCACATGCATAGAATTAAAAATTTTCAAAAAGCCTTTAAAAAAAATCATCACAGTTGATCACCAGGTAGGCACCTGTCCCCTCTCTTTACACCAGGTCCCAGACTGCTCACCCTAGTCACCCTAGAAGCAGCTACAGTTTCCCTTATAGTCACCCTCATATCCCAAAGCTTCTCAGCTTTGTCTCATCTACTCTCTACAGGGTCTCACTGTGTAGCCCTGACTGGCCTGGAACCCGCTAGGTAGACCAGGCTGGCCTTGAACTCACAGAGATCTGCTTGCTTCTGCCTCCTGAATGCTGGGATTAAAGGCGTGGGCCACCACTGCTGGCTCATTGATTGGCTCCTCCACAGCCAGTGCAAGGTTACTTTCCTTCTCCAAATTTTCATCACATAAATACTCTGAACTCCAGTTCTGACATACTGCTCCAACTCTCATCACCACAGCAGGGGTTGTAGAAATCTGTGGCTAGCATCTGTAACAGCCTAATAAACTGGCCTATTTCAGAGACACACAGCCACCATAGCAAACATTCTATGAGAAGCCCTCCAACAGGTGACCCACTGGGGTCATGGGAGTACTCATTTGTATGCTGTGAGGTGCAACTGGACACCCAGGGGTGCTAGCTGGTAGTGACTAGTCACTAGTTACCCGTGGAGCATGTAAGCATGACTCACAGGACTGGGGAGCTAAGTTTTTATTTCTTTTACACTTCATTTAAGTGTAAATAATCATGAGTGGTTATCAGCGACCATGATGGACAGAAAAGACTTTACTCTGCAAGTTCAGGTAGAAGCCGCAGGCAACCCTCTCAGCGCTTCTATAGGGAGGGGAAAGCCCCACAGGATTAAGAGGAAAAGGAAATACAAAATAAATATGGAAAAGACAGAAATAGAAACAGTACATTTTTCTTTTGCAGATATATAACTAGTTAAATAGAAAACTGGCCAAACCCATACCCCTGACATAAAATTAGAAAAAAATTAAGTATTTAAAAACTTACCTATCTAGATAGATGAGCTATCTAGCAAAATAAAAGGTGTAATGGGGAAGAACAAAAGAATTCTAACTAAACAAAGTTAGATTCATTAGCCCTGATTTAGAAAACTCATGGTAATGTCAGAATGATTAGTCTGTAAGATGAAAAATAGATTAACATAATAACAATTACATTCCTGCTAGAATACTCTAGAATGTGATAAATCACTGGCAAAATTAAGGAGGAAACACACACACACACACAATAATACCCAAGAGTGGAGGAGGATGCACTAATCAAATTTTAAGACATATTATAAAGTGATCTTCATCAAAACTGAATTTTGCTGGATCAAAGCCAGGACAAAGACTAATAAAATAATGATTTCAGAGATAGATTTAAGCACTTAAGAGTCCTTAGGACATAGTGAACAAAATAAAACTAAGAGTCCCAATAATGGATGAAAGAATTACCACTTAATAAATGTGGGTAGAACAAACGAATATCAATATGAAGAAAAATATATTATATCCATAACTCACCAAATAGAATCATTTTTTCCAAATCGGTCAATGAACTAATTAAACACAGCTAGCAATAAACAAGAAAGGATGATGTGCCCCCAGTACAGTGAAGAGATGACTCATGGCTGCCGAAGACCACGGAGTCGTAAGACAGCCGTACGAGGGCTCCAATGTTTTCAAGTACCTTAGACTCTTTTAATAAAAGGAACAAGGTAAACATAAAGAAAGGATCACTTTAAATCATGATCAATAGGATGGAGATTTACAATCCCAAACAAAATAAGCTTTATATCGGGGTATAAACACCTACTGCCATCAGCGACGTGACATCAGCTAAGGAGAAGCAGGAGCAGACCTGGCCAGCCCCAGCCCCATGGTGTCACTTCTCTGCGTTCCGCACACCGAGAACCGTCCCTAGTAAGCTAACCTGGGGAAGTGTGCAATCTCACTGACAAGGGCAGAAACGCAAGTGTAGACAACCCCCAACTTGTTTTTTTTATCTGTTTGTTTTTACTAGCCGATGTTGTCAGTAGAAACAGTATTTTGAATTTTTAAGATTTATTTTAGTGTTAATCATGTGTATGTGTGTGGGTATGTGCACGTATGCGAGCGCAGATTTCCATGGAGGCCAGAAGGAGGTATTGGATCCTCTGAAGCTGGAGTCGCAGGTGGCTGTGAGCCACCCCACACCCAAACTTGGGTCTGCTGGGAACGGGACTTGCAGCTGCTGCAGGAGCAACAAGCCCTGCTGACTTCGGAGCCATCTCTCTGTCCCTTTGCTCTGTTTTCTTTGGGATACATGTAAACATTTCTATTTGGAGCAGAAACGTTAGGACTCCCTCTTGGGCACCATCAATGTGGCTCTAGCGTCATGTCAGATGCTTGTGGTCCCTCTTGCTTGTCCACCTTCTGTCCATCACATGTCAAACAATCACAATGCCAAGCCCATAGTCGGGCAAGATATCCTAATTTCATGGTGACCCCTTGT